TGTCGTCTCCAGGGAGAGACCACTTCGAGACGCGCGCGCCCACGCGGCTAGGGGGGCGAACCCACCGCTGGAGGGTGGGCGTCGAGGCCCCGACGGCGTGTTAGTCTCGTCTTCCACTGGTCGAAATCTCGTCTTGTAACGGAACAAAACAAGACGAGATTTCGACCAGACGGAGACCGCTTGGCTACGCCATTCAGACCGCGATTAACAGGTCGTTGCCAACTCAAAGTCGTCTCCAACTCGTCTTAAAATTGTCGCCTGGCTCTTTTTGTCATCTTGGCGTCATCTCCGCGGCAAGACCAAAATCTGACCAAGTTGCGACGAATTGCAGTTTTCTGCTTCCACCGCATGTGCATGCAGGATTTGTGGGCTGCCGTTAAATACTAGAGATAAGAGTGGATGACCTGTTGATTTTACTTTCAGGAAAGCTTCTTCTCAACAATCTTAGAACAGGGGGAGCGCTCTCATAAGTTCTACGGGTTCTGGTTCTGGCGCTCCCGCACGGGAGCGCTCCCAAACGTTTTTAAGCGGTCTTGCTACCGCTTCTAGCTCTGCATACGATCCCACTCATCCCATCCCATCCATCCACCCATCCATCCATTCAGCGCGCTCGGAGGGGACTGCATGGTCGTGGTTCGTCTGTCGTCGTCGCCTGCGCCGCCACGCCGCCTCGCCGCGCCAGTCCCCACTCCTCACAGCCACCCCCTCCCTCCTTGCCCCCTCTCTGCCCGGCCTCCCCGGCCGGTCCACGGCAAGACCGCTTTGCTAAGCTTGCCTTGGCGGAACTTTTTTTTTTATCACTGCATCGCTGCTTAGGAGTCATACTGGAACTTCTGCATTCGGATGGCCGAGTGCTCCTATTGGGCGAGCCTTGCTCGCCAAACATGGGGTATTGCCAGCGAGCTGCTAGCGTGCGGTCCCTCCACGGCCCTTGCCAACAGTGACACTTGCTGCACGCTTGTGTACTCGGCCAAGCAACGGCGACGGTTCTCGTATTCGATTGTTGCAAATTTATGTATTAGGAGAAGCTCCAGACAAAAAAAAAAAAAACACTTGGTCGGCGACATCCTAGGAGCGGGCGCTTGTGGTGTTTTATCGGTTCCTTGTATGTATACGAACTGCCGAAAAGACACTTGGACGAAATCCGACACCCCCTGTGGCTTTGGTACGGGTCTAAACACCCCCAAAACAGCTGTTTTCGAGGGTTTGGGACTAGATGGGTTCTCGCAAACCGAGATCCAAAAAAGTACCCAAATGGGTCTCAGATACCCCAAAAAAAAGCGCTCTTTCGAATGCCGTGTCGAACGAGGCTCTACGACGTCGGGTTTAGATGCTACGGGCTCTCAAAGTTGCTCAATTTCACTATTTTTACTGAAGATTTGAGCATATCAGGGCCGTTTGAAGTAGACCATCGGCGATTTCGCTTTCAAGAGGTGCTGATCAAAAGTAAATAGCTAAAAAAATTAGTTTTTCTGGACCCAAAACCACCTAAGCCCAGTGGTAAAATGACCCAAAACTTAAATTGTTCTCAGTTCCTCTAATAATTGCCTGACATGGCTGAAATTTTGTGGGGGTGTTTACCTATGGGTGGGCACTATTTAAGACAAAGAGGAGCGAAATCGCCGATGGTCTACTTCAAACGGCCCTGATATTCTCAAATCTTCAGTAAAAATAGTGAAATTGAGCAAATGACCATCAAAAAAAGTAAGTGAACAGGTCTTAGCCGTTCCAACTCACTGTGTCGGGGGCTTCTTTCCAGACATTCAACTCTCCCACCGTTCTTACAGAAAACATTTTACTTTTAGTGAAACTGAATGGGAACAGTTTGAGCAGCAAATACATTGGTTAGTCCTAGTGTTGCAATTAACAGACATTAACAGACAGGACTTGCTAGATAGCACCGGGATCACTGTTGGGCTCTTCAAGGAGAACGTTGCGAAGAAAATCGAAAACCTTCGTGTGAGCCGCTGAAATGTACGGCGAGTCGTTCATCGCATTCGGGTAGTCCATGTCTGCGCAGTGGGAGCCTCCTGCAAAAGGTATTTTACTTGATGAACATCAAAACAGACGGATAGCCACCCTTCAGTTCTTGAGTTACGGAAAACTACGTAAAAGGCTCATCTCACCGTCGATGAGGACAGCCGGCGCGTTCCTGCTCAGGTTGCCCAGGATTCCCAGCGGGTACCAGGGATCGATGTTGCCGTTGAGGAAGAAGACGTTGGTCACGTCGGGAGCGCGGTCGCCGAAGAAGAGGTTGGTGCGCTTGACCGCCGCGTTGATCTCGTCTTTGTCGAAGCTGCGAGTTTACACATTCTTGAAAGCTCGAACCCACCTCATGAACGAATTTATTTAGAACGGGAGGTTACAGTTATTGGTGCAAATGAGCTTTTCGTTCCAATGTCTACCCAATCTTGCTGAAAACTGGGGAAATATGCGCCGTTTTACGAATCGTACAAAAAAGTGCATCGGCTCAAATAACTGAAAAATGAGATAGCTCACACTACGCGTGCTCGCAAGCCGCACACTGTTCCACATCAGCGAATGTGATCGTTCCGACGCTGTTACCTGGTTCCGTAAACATCCTTGCACAGCTGGTAGTTGTAGCTGACGTCGTAGAAGCCTTTGGGGAAAGGGGTGTCGCCAGCGGAATACGTCTGGTAGTACCCGAACTCGCTGCAGGTTTGATAGATCCACTGACGCGCTGGAAAAAAGAACGACTTGATGAGTATAGAAGCAGTGGTGATACCTTTATAATTTTCAGAACTGGTTTGAAGGCCAGGTTGAGTCAAAGCGTTCTATGCAAAATATTAAGCATGTATACCAGGAAATACGACAGTTCTGCAATCTTTAAAGGTACCCGCTTTCTTGTCGCAATTCTTGTCGAACTTTTTCCAAACTTAAATTGATTTATGGCCCTTCACCTATTATACACTTATACACTTACATCGGCGAGGGCGTCCCCCTTCGTTCCGTCATTCAATTTTTTGAAAATGTCAGGAAAAAACATCCTTTTTTTCCTTGCCCTCGGATAGGCCCAATTTTCCGTTGAATTTTGAAGGTCTCTCTTTGCTGCCCGATAGATGGGGCTGTGGTCGTCGCTCAGACATCCGCGATGTTTTAGGTGACAGGAAGGTTGAGGGAACACCCACCCCACACCTAATTCGCACCATTATACTATGGAATTCGCTCATTCGTGGATTTGTAGCGGCCCGTCAAACATAATGGCCCATAATTGATTCGTGACCCACAGTTGATTTTTAAGATGTGGGGTAGTAAACAGATGAGCAATATCCAGGGAGTTCCTGGGACGGGAATACAAGAACCGTTTTTGCCGGTGTTCCCTGCACTCACAGGAGCCGTAGATGCCTTCGCCGTCCTGGGTGTACGCCGTGTTCTGCAATCCCGTGATTGAACTGCGGTACGACCAGTCGTAGTAGATGCCGGGAATGTTGTTTTTGCCCAGGACGAGGTTGGCCAGCTTCGCCATGGCCTGGTCCGGCGTCAGGTTCCCACTCATGAAGCTGCAGATGTACTTGATGTTGGAAGTGGACTGTGGCGTGGAATCGCGGTTGTACTGCACGGCATGAGCGAACGGACCCGACAACGTTTCGAAGAAGGCGTCCAGGTCGAGCTTGGCCACGAGGTCGGAGCCCACACTGCAACGCCAGGGAATTGCGGGTGAGAGGGAGTGACTCCGGTACACTGGTCGAACTGAAGTGCGTGAATATACACAGCTTGTACGCGTACATTAACGACTTTCATCGAGCGTAGTAGTTACTTTAGAACGCTAAGGTTCAAGCGTAGTTTTCCGTTCCGCCCTTCTCCCGCCTACCTAAATGCATGCCAGAATTTCTTCTCTACACTCTCAGCCTTTTACTGACTACTTCCCATTAGCAGACGCATTTCTGCAACAGACCATAATATTGTGCTTAGTAGTTTCGTCAGTATTTCTTAGCAATTGCTAATAACTGCAAGTACTACTTACCCTTTTTTAAGTAAATTGCAATGAAAATTTTAAGTATTTGAGAACGAAATAAAGTATTATTCAGAAATAGGTCCGCTAATGTGAGTGTATACTTCAGTTGAAGCGTTAAGTCTTCGAGCGTAGTTGTATGTTTGAACGAAGCGTACAAGTACGCTGCGCAAAAGTATGTAAAATGTACCAGAGCATTTTACTCCAGGCATTTTTCGGTATTAAACCGCTAGTACACCGGTTCAATGAAATATTGATCATCGTGAGATCAAATGAACCTTAAGCAGTAGATTCTCTAGACAATGCAAATGACCGACATGCGATTCAAGAAGGAACATGAAGTTCGAGAACTTAGTCCTTAATCCACTGCCATCTTTACTTACCGGAAGGTGTCCCGAACCTGTTGATAGCCTGCAGCTGTTTGAAGGAGTTGGACGATTCTGTCCGTGGCCTTCTTCACATTGTCGAAGCACCACTGCCCAGCTTTGGTCGTCATGGATCGTCCCACCACTTCCATGTATTCTAGAAGATAAATGTCAAATGTCATTTTAATTAATTTGGGCACTATTGTGCACCAAAAAAGGGGAAAAATGTGTTTTTTACGCATGCGAATCGTACAAGAAGATCTTAGAAAAGATGTAGTTTCTTTCAAAGTTCCGATTTCTAACTGCAAGTATCATAACTGGATTGTGCCGGGCACACTGTGGGAAAAAATCACAGTAAATCCTGTAGTGATTAGTACAGCTGTCACTGTAGTTCAGAGTACAGGATTTACTGTACTTTTTTAACAGGATCTACTGTACTTTGTACGGGGTTTACTGTACCACAGGAGTGGAGTACGGAATATCCTGTACCAGGTACAATAGATACTGTAGCCAGGCACGGTAAATCCTGTGTTCTGAACTACAGTAAATCCCGGCAAAAAAATTAACGGGATTCACTGTGGTTTTTTCGCACACTGCAGTGAGTAGAATTAGCAACGTAAAAACGGTTCCTGCACTGTTATCCAAGTTGAGATACTTTCAACACAAAAACGTGCGATAATATCCAAAATGTGATTCCCACGAATCATTGCTCCCCAGATGCGATGACTTTTGTATCACAAAATTTTTGGAATGGTCATCGCACATTTCTGCAATGAAAGTAGGAATTATTGCATAAAAAGGCGATTATGGCAACACAAAATCTGCATTCAATCTAGTTTTTTGCAATGATCATTGCAAAATTCGGCGATGCAGCAGCTCATCACACCGTTTTGCAATGATCATCACAGAGAAGAGCGATGAAATTTGTATCGCGCTGAAAGTGCGGTCTGCATCGCAAGTGGAATAACAGTGTGGCTTTCCCAGGAAGCCTGAGGACATACGTGGTTTCCTGAAAGTTCCTGGGAAAACCAGGAACCGATTTTACTGTGAGGGTTCTCCTTTCGGAGAGAAGTGAGGTCCAATGGAGCACAACAGCACTGACACCCAAATTTTGTGACTTTAGAAATTTGTAAAGTGTTTCCCAGGTGCGGCTTAGCTTTACAAGCTCACCAATGAAGTCAGCCTTGGCGTGGACGGGTGCGCTTGAAGAGATCGCCGCCCTGATGAGGTGCGGGTATTTGTACCGGGCCCAAGCGGCCAGGTTTCCGGGGTACGAGCCGCCGAACACGACGATCTGTTGCCCTTGGACGATGCCGCCTGTCTCTGTCAGGTACTCGATGAAGTAGGCCAAGTCAGCCAGCGCCTGGTCGGCTGACAAGTACTGCAGGCTCGCCGTCGTCAGATCTCTGCACGAACCAAGAGTCACGACCAGTCAAGTGAAAATACTGCAGGTTAGCCGTAGTCGGGTCTCTGCCTGGCTGCTCGAATCAATCAAGTCATGAAGTATCAAGTATAGATTGCAGGATGGCCGTAGTATAGACTGCATGAATCTCGTGATGACACGTCAAGAAGTACTGAGCTGCCTTGAAGCTGTAGCGTTCGTGTGGAACTATCATCATTTACTCACGGAAGAGGGTGGCTCTTGCCGTAGAACCGGTGCTCCAAATCGTATGTCTTAGCTCCAAAGTTCTCCGCCAGGTACGTGATAAAGAGAGTGTAGTCCATCAGGGATCCCGCGCTTTCCTGACCTTCTCCACCAATGAAAATGAACACGGGTCCACCTGGTTGGTACAGGTCACTTCGTGCAAAGTACCGCTGCAACAATTCCCATGTTGATGTTCTACCGAAGACTTCGAGGGATTAATTCATTTAGTTACATTAGTATTATCACGCGGTCACGTTAAGAGAAACTGACGTCGGAATTTCTCAGTATAAATCAAGTACTCTGCAAACTAAAAAGTCTACATAGTACACTCTTATTAAAGCATGCTTCCAAGCACACTCTTATTTACAGCATGCTTGCCAGGCACACGCTAAGGTAGAGTGTGCCTGGCATATACACGTTAAATAAGAGTGCACCTTGCAAGTACACGCTAAAAAACACTCGATTAATCCTATCTTAAAGCAGGGGCAGAGGTGTACCTGCCAGGTACACACTTCTTTAGCGTGTACATGCAATGTACGCTCTATTTAAGCGTGTGCCTAGCAAGTATGCTGTAAATAAGAGCGTGCTGGGAGGCCTGCTCTAAAAAGAGTGTGCTATGTACACACTACAGTTTGCAGAGTACATGGCAAATAATAAGTCACGAGATGAGGGTCAGTGCGGGGAAAGTTCTTAAGCCTGCACATACGGCATTTGAAGAAAAATGAAAAATGGGGTGCTCAGTTCTTTCCCTGTCTAGTTTTTCCCCCTCACTGACCTTAAGTTGTGATCAGCTGCACCTACCGAAAATAGGATGGTGTGTAGTAAAACTCTGCCGAGAAAAATTCTTATCATCTTGTGGGAAGAATCAAAGTGATCAGCTAATTATGACATCAATTGTTACACCATGTGGTTTGGCAATACATTCTTTTGTTTGCCCCGCGTTTTTTTCTGGCTCCAAGGATGCCTTGATGTTACCTCTCAGTTTTCAATGTTAACGTGGTCTGGTAAAAACCTACCACTGCACTCCTTCATATGGACAAACCTGTTTCCATGTCCTCTTGTCATTGGGATTGTAGTGGTCCAGGATCTGGTCCATGTACAGCTCCTGCACCTGCGCCCTGCCAGTGGGTGGGACGAGTGGGGGCGGAGGGACGAAGCGCAGGAGCCGATGATCGAAGCGGTTTCTCACGGCTTCCAGGACGGGCACCTTGTCCGCGCTCTCGATGGGAGTCTGCTGGGACGGGGCCGTGGCCGCGCCCAGCAGCAGCAGCACTGCTACTCGGAGGACCAACATGTTTGGTGCGATCCTGACGGCCAGAGCACTGTAGGAAAATTAGTGTGCCAGTTGGACGTCTTGTCATTTTGTTTCCAGCGCTCATCTCAGCTTAGTCGTAAAGTTCAACGATGTTTTCGAACTGACAATACTGTTGACAATGGAAAACCAGTTCCTGGTTTTCCCAGTTAAGAGATAACAGATTTTCAGGGCGTCCAGGGGAAAACCCGGAACCGTTTTTGCTGTGTACATCGGCCATTTCCATGCAAAACATGATTTTATTTTTTGCAACATTCTAGTTGCCTTCAATGGCCTCTGCTGACCGCGAAATTTAAAACAATCAAATGTTTCAACCAAAGAACCCAGGGCTCATTAACTTTAAACTAATATTTTCAAAGCAACCATATCGATCGTGCTCATTTTAAGAAACAAGATGCAGGCAGTTTAAATGGCATAGCAATTGCTCACACTAAATGTCTTACGGTGAAAGGCTGCACCAACATATTATAGTGTAGATTTTCTCCATAATACCAACGAAATTCGTCAAAATATCTATAAGGTACAGTGAATTCTCAATTGTATATTCATGAAGTCAGCTGCACCACCATAATATGGAACATTTCCACCATAATATGGAGAATCTTCACTCACTGTACAACATTTGAAGTGTTGTCCATGATCCGAAAGAAATTACAGACGAACACCACGCTTTACACCCCGCACTTACCGAGTGGACTTAGTGCGACAGACTCAGCCTGACTCGCAGTGTGGCGAAACGTAGGGAACCCTCCGGAAGCGGAGCCGTGTCGACCACAGCGAGGAAGGATTCATATATACCGGAGGAACCCACCTCATCTTTATCAGCGCCGTGCAGGCTCGATAGCCGTGCACAGTGTGAGACGAGCTGCATTGTCCTCTGCTGTAAAATATCGATGGAGTGGATTAGCCCATTGTCTCGAGCACGTGATGAGCATTGGAGTGGCCCAGACGTCAAGTCGAGGAAGTGCAGAGTGCGCTTGGGTTATCGTCCAGTAAAAGAAACACCAAATGCCATGGAGCTTTTTTTTTGTTCCATGAATCAGCCAACTTTCGGTCCACCGTGATACAAATCATCCCATGACGTCAAATTAAAGTAGGCATCGTACAATATCACTTATTGGACACAAAATTTGTTTCATTCATGGGACAAAAAAGTCCCATGAAATTAAGTTTGAAGAGACGATTCTTTGTCGAGTTTCTTAAAAGAAGTTTTGAACGGCTGACCGTTCCTTCCTGACCCATAGAATCAAGAGAGTAGACTTAATTGGCTGAGCGATAGCGAAGCCTGTTACTTCAGTGGGGTTGAAAAGTTTTGTCTGTCTGTCTGTGTGTCTGCACTACTCCTCCTGAACGGCTCAGCCGATCTCGGTGAGATTTTGCACACTTCTTGGGTATGTCCTTGGCTCGGCACACGCGAAAATTCACCATTCTAGCTCAACTGGTTCAGTTTTTATAGCCGAAAAACACCTAAAAAACGGCGAAAAATCGAGTTTTCTGCAGATAGATCACTTTTGTCTTGGAGAAAGGGGGGTCTGGCGGGCGGAACCCCCCAGCCTCGACAAGTTAAAAATTGACAAGGGTCAAGATCGTGTTATCTGTAGATGAAACAACTCTATTTAGAATGTAGGGGGGTCTGGGGGCGGACCCCCCCCCCAGCATTTTCAACAAGTTAAAAATTAACCGACAATGGACAAGCCATTGCCTGCCGCAGGCAGGCTAGCGCCGCAGGCCAAGGTAGGTACGCCAGGCGTGGATTGGAGGAACAGGCAGCGAGACATCGCGAAGCCTGTTACGACAAGACGCGGTCTGGCGTAAACCTACCTTGTCTAATTTTTACTTTTAATGTGATTTTGAATTGGTTCCGCGACTCAAAGTGAACAGAACAAAATGGAGAAAAAAAATCTCAAAATTTAAAAATTTTCACGTACGTCTTCTCAAAGCCCTGTCGCAAGGGTCTTATGCGGTTATAAATAATAAAAATAATAATAATAAAAAATAATAGGATTGCTTCGACTCCAAAAGAAAGCCCCAACACCCACACGTAATTGTAGAACTTATCTTATTGAAACGCTTAGTCGATAAGATGCCTTGTGCATGACAAGAGGGCAGTGGCCAAGTGCTTTGCCCTCTCAAGTAGGCTTTGTCCGAGGTACAGACGGCCTTACGTCGCTCTTGAAACACCCTTAATTCACGAGAAAGCCCAGACCGGAGTAAGACGAGAAACAATAGCGTCGCACCGCCGTTCTGAGCGGTGTGGGGGCCGGAATTCGCAGAGTAGGTAGCATGCCGCGCCGCCTTACCCACTCGCCGTTCGACCCCCTAGGGTCAGACGGAGGCGGACGCTCATTGTTTCCGATCTATCCCTGATCTCCGTTATATTTCCTCCGAGAGCTTGAGGAGGCTGGACTTGTAGTAATCGACCCGATCTGACCATTACTTTTCTTTCAGATGCGTTAGGTGAGGCAAATGTAGTAGAAAATGTGACGAAGGGGAAATTACTTTGAATTTTGGTGTACATGGCCGTGAATTTCATGAATTTTTTTGAAATATTTGAATTTTTGTTGAATTCTTTGAATTTTGACAAATTTCAATGAATTTTTGCGAATTTTCAAGATTTTTTTGAATTTTGATGAATTTTTAAAACTTGGCTGCAGTTTTTGAATTTCATGAATTTCAATGAATTTCTATGAATTTCTCTGTTTTTTAATGAATTTTGGTGAATTTCAATGAATTTTTGAGCCTTTGATCGCCGAGGGCATCTCGGAAGCATCCAAGAAGTGAGCTGCAACGTCCTCGGGAGTCTGTGCCTTCATCGCGCAGTAGTAAGTTGGTCCAACGAATGTGTCAGATCCCGGGTTTCAACCGACCCGTTCGGACGCGTGAATGCAGGCGCTTGGATGCTCTGCCCTACTCGGCGCCCCACCGCCCACGTCTGTCCGTCTTTCCTGCGTGAGACTTGGAGAGGGTGTCAAATGCGATCAAGAAAAACATTCGTTTGTTCATCCTTTGGTGTGTATGTATCGGCGTGCTTATACACTCTCATTCTAGGAACGTGACATCACGTTGAAACGAACGTGACAAACTGTCACGTTCGTTTGAGCATTGTGTCACATTCGTTTGGGTGTGAATTGGCCGAAAACCAGCTCGTTCACATTCAAACGAACGTGACACAATGCTCAAACGAACGTGACACAATGCTCAAACGAACGTGACACTTTGTCACGTTCGTTTCAACGCGATGTCACGTTCCTGGAATGAGAGTGTACGCACTCACGTGCGCTCTCTGAGCGGCCGGGGGCCGTCCGAAACACATTCCACAAGGATCGAGAAGGTTTTCTGTGAAGAACGGCGAGGACAGAGGACCATCCCCCAAAGAAATGACACTGTTAACAGATGTCCCCGCAATGAGGCAAGGTCGAGGAGCCCGGCCGGGGAGGGGGGAGGGGCCGGCGGCGAGGGAGGCGGCGGCCTGCCTGCACCACGGGACGCCATTCATTGACACCGAGCCTCCTTCGGCCGCCGCGCCTTCAAAATTGACCCACAAGTTCCAACTCAAACAAAATTTTGGACCGTGTAGAGGCGTGAAAGACGCTTGCGTAGTTTTAAAAATTGTAAAATTTAGGGAAATACTAGAACACCTGTGCTTTGGTAAGAGTCAGAGTAGTAGCGCCAACACACCGATAGCCATGCTCAGTTTTCATCTGCTATGTGGCACTCGTGGGCTGCAGCGTTAGCAATCAAGAGAGACCTCCTCCCCTCCCCCCCCCCCTTTCTCCTCACAACCACACGGTCTCCGCGAGGGCTCCCCTCACGTTTTCGTACGCAGGTTTGAATCATGCATCCCATCGTATATTAACGAAAATTCATTGAAATTCATTGAATTTTAGTGAGTTTTAATGAATTTCAGTAAACTTTGACACATTTTGATAAATTTTGTACACTTTTTGAATTTTTGCACTGCAATGAATTTTATGAATTTCAGTGAATTTTGAAGAATTTCGATGAATTTCAATGAATTTTGGTGAATTTTTTAATTTTATGAATTTTACTGAAGTTTGTTGAATTTTTTTGAATTTTGCATTTGGTGTACACATTTTTTCGGAGTAGTTTCCCCTTGAATGTGACTGCTGACTAAAATGTTCCTGCTCCGTCATCATTAAGTGGTCCAGGTAATTAAGTATTTATGGTTATGAAGCTGTTTCTGTTAAATAAGTTGCTTGACCATTCTTACATATTTTGATTATTTTTAACAGAAATTCCTCGTGTGCCATTTAGTCTTAGGTCGCAGTTCCCAACCACTTCAGATGTCACTCAAGAATTTGCCATGAAATTGGTTCCAGTTAACCATGGTAAAACTTGATAATCAGTTAATGGTTTAGCATAAGAAGTTAAAATTTAAAATAGTTAATTGTAACAATTTTGTAACAGGTATGCCCCTTGAATGGTCTAATTTTCTCACTCCACCTGAAGATGATCCTGTTTCCTTGACACACAACACAGATTAGCCAGAACCTGTTGAAGAGGAATGCAGTGAATCGTCAGCCAGTGAACATTATGAAGGACAAGACACAACATCTCATCCGTTCTGTTGTATTTAAATCCTCCTCTCACGGTAAAAGATAGTGTACGGGCCATTTTATTATGTGCTTTTTCGTCTCATTTGAGTGGGGTAGACTTAAATTCATCTGCTTCTGTCCTCCCTTGGAGACAAGTGTGATGAGTGTCCCAAAAGTTCAGTGAAGTATTTAATCTAATGAAGCATGTAATACATGCTCCATTTTTTTCTCAGCTTCAGAAGTTTTATTCTAGGCCTGGTTTTGTTGATAAACTGTTACAAAAACAACAGAAGCAAGAAACACCCTGACAATATTGAGGGCGTTTATGACAGCACTGTTTAAAGGGAAGCAGATGAGAAAATTAATTTGAATGCTCTTAATATTTCTTTAACGTGGTATACAGATAGTGTTTCTCTGTAACTGCAGCTCGTATTCCTTGTGGCCGTTTGTATTTGTAATTAATGAACTACCCTCAGAAGAAAGATTTAAAGAAGAAAACCTTATCATGGGGGGCTGGGGAGATTCAGATAAACCCTATCCAAATGTTTTTCTTTTTCCCATTTACAATGAAGTTATTAAATTGAAAGCTGGATTTGGTGTTATATTATTCCCACAGGTTCAAGAATAACAAAGGTTACCGCAGTAGTTGTGTTTGGTGAAGCAGATATGCCTGATAAAGCGTTATTTATGAATATGAAAGGGCATGCAGGTTTTGATTCTTACCCTAAATGTTTTATCCATGGTGAAAAGTCAGTTAGAAATGGTCAAGTGATGGTCTTTCCTCATGTAGATGTTCTTCTCTTGAGAAATGAAGAAAACTACCAAGAATGTGTCAGACAGGCTATGCTTTCCAAAAAAAGAGTACAACGGTGTAAAGGAGGTCACAATTTTGTCTCACTTAACTCATTCCATTATCATTGAATCCACCAGAATCGACAGTATGCTTTGTGTGTCGCTTGGGGTAGTAAAGCAGCTCATAATATTGTGGTTTGATTCAAAGTACTCGGATGCACCATTTTCTCTGGTAGAGTCTACAGATAAAGTGAATAAGTTACTAAATTCGCAGAATCTTCCTCACTTTGTACAACGCCTGCCAGAAGACATTACAAAGCTGCACTTTTGGAAAGCATCTCTCAGTAGGAATTTTTTGTTGTACATTGTTTTAGTTATTATTAAGTTGATCATGAAACCTTATTACTATTTGAATCTGTGTGATTTTATTTATGGAGATCTCAGCTCCAAAAGTCTATATTTGAAGATTCTGTTATCACAAGTCCTATCAGAGTGT